GTATATCACATATACCTTTGTTCACTTTGCCATCCTTCTTATCCGCCAAATACTTGGGGCAGTTCCGCTTCCAGTGTCCAGTCTGCTTGCAGTAGAAGCACTCAGTCTCAGGCTTAGGTCCAGACTTGGGTTTCTTCTCTTGAGCAGCAACTTGTTTGCTGTTCTTCTTGAAGTTCCCCTTCTTCTTCCCTTTGCCCTTTTCTTGAAACTGGTGGTCTTATTGACCATCAACACTTGATGCTCCTTCTTGATTTCTACCTCCGCAGCTTTTAGCATTGCGAAGAGCTCGGGTATTGTCTTGTCCATCCCTTGCATATTATATTTCATCACGAAGCTCTTGTAGCTTGGTGGCAGTGATTGAAGAATTCTGTCAATGACACTATCATCAGGAAGATTAACTCCCAGTTGAATCAAGTGATTATTATACCCAGACATTCTGAGTATGTGTTCACTGATAGAACTATTCTCCTCCATCTTACTGCTATAGAACTTATTGGAGACTTCATATCTCTCAATCCGGGCATTTGCTTGAAATATTAACTTCAACTCCTGGAACATCTCATATGCTCCATGACGTTCAAAACGTCGTTGAAGACCCGGTTCCAAGCCGTAAAGCATGGCACACTGAACTATCGAGTAGTCATCAACTTTGCTCTGCCAGACGTTCTTAATGTCGTCAGTTGCATCTGTAGCAGGCCTGGCACCCAGCGGTGCTTCCAGGACGTAATTCTTCTGTGCAGCAATGAGGATAATCCTCAGGTTACAGACCCAGTCTGTGTAATTGCTACCATCATCTTTCAACTTAGCTTTCTCAAGGAACGCATTAAAATTCAACGGAACAACAGCACGAGCCATCTATCTACAACAAACATAGACAAGTAAAATACTATCAGGTACTAAGTTCATGATAAATTTAAGTTCAATTAATCATATTACTTAAGAACTCCCACTTAGACAGACATCTCTCTAGTCATCTAAGTGATCACGTGATCCAAATCAACTAAACCATGTCCGATCATCACGTGAGATGGAGTAGTTTTCAATGGTGAACATCACTATGTTGATCATATCTACTATATGATTCACGTTTGACCTTTCGGTCTCCATGTTCCGAGGCCATATCTGTATATGCTAGGCTCGTCAAGTTTTAACATGAGTATTTCGCGTGTGCAACTGTTTTGCACCCGTTGTATTTGAACGTAGAGCCTATCACACCCGATCATCACGTGGTGTCTCAGCATGAAGAACTTTCACAATGGTGCATACTCAGGGAGAACACTTCTTGAAAATTTTAGTGAGAGATCATCTTAAAATGCTACCGTCAATCAAAGCAAGATAAGATGCATAAAGGATAAACATCACATGCAATCAATATAAGTGATATGATATGGCCATCATCATCTTGTGCTTGTGATCTCCATCTTCGAAGCACCGTCGTGATTACCATCGTCACCAACGCGACACATTGATCTCCATCGTAGTATCGTTGTCGTTACGCCATCTATTGCTTCTACGACTATCGCTACCGCTTAGTGATAAAGTAAAGCAATTACAGGGCGTTTGCATTTCATACAATAAAGCGACAACCATATGGCTCTTGCCAGTTGCCGATAACTTCGGTTACAAAACATGATCATCTCATACAATAAAATATAGCATCACGTCTTGACCATATCACATCACAACATGCCCTGCAAAAACAAGTTAGACGTCCTCTACTTTGTTGTTGCAAATTTTATGTGGCTGCTACGGGCTGAGCAAGAACCGTTCTTACCTATGCATCAAAACCACAACTATAGTTCGTCAAGTTAGTGCTATTTTAACCTTCGCAAGGACTGGGCGTAGCCACACTCGGTTCAACTAAAGTTGGAGAAACAGACACCCGCTAGTCACCTGTGTGCAAAGCACGTCGGTAAAACCAGTCTCGCGTAAGCGTACGCGTAATGTCGGTCCGGGCCGCTTCATCCAACAATACCGCTGAACCAAAATATGACATGCTTGTAAGCAGTATGACTTGTATCGCCCACAACTCACTTGTGTTCTACTCGTGCAAATAACATCTACACATAAAACCAGGCTCGGATGCCACTGATGGGGAACGTAGTAATTTCAAAAAAAATTCCTACGCACACGCAAGATCATGGTGATGCATAGCAACGAGAGGGGAGAGTGTAATCTACATACCCTTGTAGACCGAAAGCGGAAGCGTTAGAACAACGCGGTTGATGTAGTCGTACGTCTTCACGGCCCGACCGATCAAGCACCGAAACTACGACGCCTCCGAGTTCTAGCACACGTTCAGCTCGATGACGTCCCTCGAACTCCGATCCAGCCGAGTGTCGAGGGAGAGTTTCGTGAGCACGACGGCGTGGTGACGATCTTGATGTTCTACCGTCGCAGGGCTTCGCCTAAGCACCGCTACAATATTATCGAGGAGGACTATGGTGGAGAGGGGCACCGCACACGGCTAATAGATCTCAAGGATCAATTGTTGTTGTATCTTTGGGGTGCCCCCCTGCCCCCATATATATAGGAGCAAGGGGGGAGGTGGCCGGCCTATGGAGGAGGCGCACCAAGGGGGGAGTCCTACTCCCACCGGGAGTAGGACTCCTCCTTTCCTTGTTGGAGAAGGAAAGAGGAGGAGTAGGACTCCTCCTTTCCTTGTTGGAGAAGGAAAGAGGAGGAGAGGGAGAAGGAAAAGTGGGCTGCCCCCTTTGTCCAATTCGGACCAGAGGGGGTGCGCAGGCCTCCTTCCTTTTGGCCTCTCTCCTCTATTCCCGTATGGCCCAATAAGGCCCATATACTCCCCGGCGAATTCCCGTAACTCTCCGGTACTCCGAAAAATACCCGAATCATTTGGAACCTTTCCGAAGTCCGAATATAGTCGTCCAATATATCGATCTTTACGTCTCTACCATTTTGAGACTCCTCGTCATGTCCCCGATCTCATCCGGGACTCCGAACTCCTTCGGTACATCAAAACTCATAAACTCATAATATAACTGTCATCAAAACCTTAAGCGTGCGGACCCTACGGGTTCGAGAACAATGTAGACATGACCTATAACTATTCTCGGTCAATAACCAATAGCGGAACCTGGATGCTCATATTGGCTCCCACATATTCTCAGTACACCACGACACTGCATTCCCTACCGACGTGTGTTGGCAAAAGTCACTTTCGCCGTCCGACTGCAGGTCGGAAAAACTTCTATCAAACTGTCGGTCGGTAATACTCACGTGTACCACCCAACTGTCGGTCGGGAATGCTGAAGCATATAGCATCAAACCGTTGAACAGTAAAAAGTGCACTACTATCAAACTGTTAGTCGGCAAATAATGCCGACCGACCATGGGTCGCCAATTGGGCCGCTCAAAATATCCGCGCACGCGTGCGTGGGAAACTTAGCGCGCGAAGCCCATCTAAAATTTTCGGCCCCTCATCCCCACAGCCCACCCTATCTCTCCGCCCTCTCTCCCTTATCTCTTTCTCTCCCGATCTGAGCGGCGGCGGCGGCGGCGGCTCCCGTCCTCTTCCCCCACCCCTCTCCCTCAGATTGAGCTCCGCCCCGAAGTGGAGGAAAGGTACGCGGCCGTCGATCTGTGCACGTCTAGCCATGAAGGGCTCCCCCCTCTCGCACTCCTTCTCCGCATGGAGCGCTAGCAGCCCAAACGTCGTAGATCCACTACCCCTGCGTCCGTGCCACGCCGGCCGCCGGTGGCTGCCGCATAGATCCGTTCCTCCCCCACCTGCCGCACGGGACGGCGCATGCTGCCATGCCGTTTGGGTGCAGCCAGACCGCCGCCCCTACCCTCGCGCTCCGGGCAGAGGCTCGTTCTTCTTGGTGGTGACTACACGTTCCTCCCTGGTGGTGGCGCTCTGCCGCTGTCTTGCGTTTCTCCTAGTGGCTGCGCCCTTCGACCCCTACCTCGAATCAGTGAGTCCTTCCCGTTATCTTGAATTTGATGTGCAACGGTATGCATGTCTTTGTTTATCTTGAATTCTCTCATATCCATGTCCGTCAGTTACTCAGTTTGCAATAGAACTTCACATCTTTCCTAGATCATAGTTGTTTGATTATTAGCAAACAATGATTCTTTACCTTTCCTTTTCACATCCGCAGATCGATCCGGCAATAGAGAGATGAAACTGCAAAGCAGCATGATAAGGAAAAAGCGGGTACACCTCTAATCTTTGTAGTATATAAGAGAGGATGACTAAACTAATATTGCCAACATATATGTTTGCTGTCCTCGACCTGGATGTCGATGACACTCTTTTTCTTTCAGTTTGTAGTTGGTTTGCATTGTTTCTGCAAAAGAATTTTGTCTGAACGTTGTAAATAACAGTTGGTCAAAAGTCATATGGGTACAGTCATAGTTGCCAAGTTTCTGGTTCGAGAGGGTCGAGGTACGGGAATGAGGGTCGAGGATCGCTGGTTGCCAAAACTAGGGATCGATTGAGGTATACATCTCTGGAACGACTGTTCGACAGTGGGAACGCGATCCTGTTAAATCAGGGACGATGAGCCCGGGTCGATCAGTTTGATCCTTCCAAGTATTGTACATGGAAACAAAAACAGATTAAGGAAAGAGTGCAATATCGTTCAAGGGCAAGAGCAAATTAAGGAAGTCCATCCTGTATTAGAGGACCGTTGTTATTTTACGTCCTTTCTGGCCTTCTGTTCCTAAATTATCTCCCCTACAGTTACGGCCACACCGTGTTTTTCCATTCCTTGTATACCTGCAACGTCCGGTCATCATGGGAACGCGTACTAGCCGTCGAATCCTATCGACCCGCACTCGTTCCCGACCCTCGATTGGGGTCGATGAACCCGGTACACGGGACGCGGCGTCGACCCGCGTTCCCGGCTACTATGGGTACAGTGCAGCATATCAGCACTGCCCCTACACAATATACATGTCATTAGTCATTACTTATTTCTTTGCTAAGATAAGTTGATAAATAACTTGTTTTGTTGTTTTCTGTTGTGAACTACATGATATGGACATTTCACTCCAGTTTGTGCTATTTTTTAACTCTAATTGACTTGTTGATATGTCATTCTAGAATTTTGTTGTTTCTGTTGGAACCTATATTATCAATTTTACACCTTGCAGAATTTATGACTAACAGGTTACATGCTGGTTTCTTACTGTTTAGGTTTCGACGCTGGACATTTGAACAAAATCATATACTGGAGACTGCTTGTATTATAATAGAAGGTAAACTTACCAATCGAACAGAGTGAACAATACTTGTATTAGTGTTTTCCATTGTATTGCATGTGCATTGTGGTCACTACTATCAATCCGTAGAAATTACACTGTATAAGGATGGATGAAACGAATGGAACCTATATCCTAACTTGCCACTACTATATTGTAGCTTCTAAAACACTTGTATGCACATATAGTTTCTCTTGGTTATTATAACTGAAACATTATTGAGATAAATCTCGCTCAGTTTTTCTAGTGGGGAAGGAAAGCTTCAAGATGTTCCATTTAAAGCCCTGATATCTATTTGAAAATTAATTCATGTGCATACCTCCTCGATCCTAACATTATCATGTCTCCATTTCTCTTATTCAAGAGAAGCGTGAAACAAAACACTCATTCAGAATTCTATGCTATCAGAAATAAGGTCATTAATATTCAGATATATGCATGTAAACTTGGCTAGTCAATCATCAAATACACACACATATGCACACACTGGAAGGTGGTGTTCATGTTTGACAAAATTGTACTTGCGTAGCAATAGTTCCTTTAACAACTAAATTGTTCCTAATCCATTGTGAGGTGTTTCTAGGCCTTGATTTTGACATTTTTAAAGTATTGCTCAGATCTGTTTGGTTGAGATTTTGAATGTAAAAACTACATTGTTCCTGTTATCTATTGCGAGGCATATAAATGCTTTGATTTTGACTTTATTTTTCAGCTGAGTTCAGCTTGTATTGAATAAAAGTTGGACAGATGCAGATAGGTAAGTGTTATCAATATGATGGTTTATGATCTACCAGTGGAACTTTAAATGATATAGTTTACCAATTTCAACGGAGTGTGTTAGCAGATTAAGTAAAAGATGTATTACATATGGAATGAACTTAATTCAACCATTCTCTAGAAGAAACTATTAGTCATATCGCGATATTATCTTGTAGAACAACAATAGGGATATGTTGACATTTGACACTTATGATGTCCTTTTTCCATGATGCTTCGCCTACTGTTAATATCCTCTTCTCCAACTGGCACATTCTTGCAAGCAATCACTATTGATGAAATAATTATGAGCACTTTTCTTGTAGAGTATAATAGATCTTTTATATGCAACTATTCAGTTGACTTGTGAAGGAATAACTAATGTCATGCTTGAATAACTGGGTTGTTGTCATGACCTTAACAGTGCAAAGCTATGCATATAAAGTTGTCATGCTTGTATGAGTGGGCAGTACATAAAGCTGCTGTTATGACCTTAACCATCCAAAATTAATGGAAAAGTTGTGATGTGGTAGTGTGTATACTATATTGGAACATAATGCATGGTTGACATAAATGCTATTGGAATTATTTAGATGTCATGGTGTTCCTAATAACTTAAAACTGTTGTAAAGATGAACTAAACCAAATTACTCTCAAACTAGAGAGCAAGAAATTATGAGATAGTTTCCTGTAGAGTAATGGTTCATGTATGTGCAGCAATTCAATTGCCCTGTGATGTAATAGTTGATGCCATGCTTGTAAGTGGGCTGGTTTCATGACCTTAACAGTGCAAAGCTATGCACGCAACATTCACATTTTATTTTGAGTTTCCCTTCAGCAATTACTTATTAATATTTCAGCACTAAACTATATTTGGCTGAGTATATCAATATTCAAACTTGTTTGTGTCGCTTTCACTATTTTGTGAGCCTTTAATCGCTCGTGTTCACATCTTCTGTCTTGGATACTATATCTGTTATTTGACCTGACTGGATGCTTATTTATGATTATCACAGATAAAAATGATATTTTGTTTTGTTGTCGATTTCCTTGATAAACAAAGTAGTTGCTGCCTAAATCTGGAACATTTCATGGACTTGTGTTATTAATGTAGTCTGACCATCTTTATTTCCAACAACATATACTATTAGCAGATGGTGGGATTCATATTGGATTTGTACAAAAGAAAAACTTTTCATATAGTACTGTTCTATTAGTGAAGTGAATATTAAAATAATTTATCTCGAGGAGAAACTGAAAGAATTCCAGATCTTGATGAATGTATACCTCGGTTGTGAGGATCTGAAGAAACCCTTTTTTCTGTTGCTGGTAGTGGAGCAAGATTTCTTATATCTGGGTGAGGGCATCCATCAATGTTGGGACAAGGAATCTCATCACTACAGTATGTAGCTACCATAGTGGACCAGGTGCGTTCTTGAGCATAGCTAGACGGAAAAACATCTTTCCCGAGCTGGCATGTGAAGGTAACTTGACCCATCTTGTTTATTTTTTGAAATTTAAAGTCAAAATAAGGGATGTATTCACCAGCTTGTCAATCCGCTTTCAGGAAGAATAGTATAAAAAACTCTATGCTTAGCACACATCTGCTATGGAAAGTACATCATAGTTAAGCCTAGTTACTTAAGTTATCCTAGTAAGATCTACAATTTTGTATAATAAGTCTGCACAAGTGTAGTCCATGAAATCAAATTAAATAGCTAGATAAGCATGTTATTTTTAATGAGAAGAAACAAACTCCTTTGTTGACCTATCAACTCCTTATGGAGATGATGGGCCGGCTGGGGTGATCTCAGCCGACGATCAATGTTAGTGTTAACACATGGCTATTGAATTCTCTGTATTTATTACTATTTATATTTTTGAGAATGTGATGATCTCTTTGTTGGAATTTTGCTACTGTAGTCTAGCTTCTATTAGTGTATTATAATTGAGAATTGTTTAACTTTTGTAGGAAACAAACCAAAGGAGAGCACTCACACGGAACCATGAAGCCAATGATCTTCGTCAACTAGATGTTTTAGATTTCTTTTTTTTTTTGGCGCTGAAACATGATCAAAAGGTCAGAAACGGTCTAAATGTGTATTCTGACGGCCAAAATGACTGGGAGCGAGAGAGAGCTCCCTTTAGGCTCAGTTTTACTGTTCTAAATTTTGTACAACTGATGTCTCATACTTGCATCTTTTACATGTCCTTTTGTGAACTTGATGTATGGTGTCTTGGTGGTAATGTTTAGAGCAGACTGTAGTGTATGTATGTGACAAATAGTTAATCGAATAAAAAATGTTTGGGGCACCTGATGTGAGCCTGATGTATGGTGTCTTGGTGACTATACTTACAATCAATACCATATGTTAATTAAAGCTATGTCTGATTGAATTAAATGTAGAAGAACTATTGGTTGGCAAAGAAAAATCCTGGCTGATTGTTGGTCAGCAAAACAAACCTCGTCTGACAGTCAGTTGGGAAAGGCTAATGCCAGGCCCAACAGAATGTTGGTCGGGAAAGAATACCCCGTCCAATAGTCGGTCGGGAAACGCCCATGGTTTCCCCAACAGGCTGTCGGTCGGGAAAGGCCCATGGCAGGCCCAACAGACTGTCGGTCGGGAAAGATACTCCATAGCTGTCAAGCAGTCGGTCGGGAAAGCTATGTCGGTCGGGAAAAGCTTTTCCCGTCTGGACTTTCCCCAACAGACGTTATCGGTCGGCACTAGTCTTTCCCGTCCAACTGTCTGTTGGTGAAACTTGGATTCCCGACCAACCTGTCTGTTGGGGATGTAGTGCTATCGTGTAGTGTCTACGAAGATCTTTATCGGTCAAACCGCATAACAACATACGTTGTTCCCTTTGTCATCGGTATGTTACTTGCCCGAGATTTGATCGTCGGTATCCAATACCTAGTTCAATCTTGTTACTGGCAAGTCTCTTTACTCGTTACGTAATGCATCATTCCGTAACTAACTCATTAGTTACATTGCTTGCAAGGCTTATAGTGATGTGCATTACCGAGAGGGCCCAGAGATACCTCTCCGATAATCGGAGTGAAAAAACCTAATCTCGAAATACGCCAACCCAACATGTACCTTTGGAGACACCTGTAGTACTCCTTTATAATCACCCAGTTACGTTGTGACGTTTGGTAGCACCCAAAGTGTTCCTCCGGTAAACGGGAGTTGCATAATCTCATAGTTACAGGAACATGTATAAGTCATGAAGAAAGCAATAGCAATATACTAAACGATCAAGTGCTAGGCTAACGGAATGGGTCATGTCAATCACATCATTCTCCTAATGATGTGATCCCATTAATCAAATGACAACACATGTCTATGGTTAGGAAACATAACCATCTTTGATTAATGAGCTAGTAAAGTAGAGGCATACTAGTGACTATATGTTTGTCTATGTATTCACAGATGTATCATGTTTCCGGTTAATACAATTCTAGCATGAATAATAAACATTTATCATGATATGAGGAAATAATAATAACTTTATTATTGCCTCTAGGGCATATTTCCTTCAGTCTCCCACTTGCACTAGAGTCAATAATCTAGATTACACAGTAATGATTCTAACACCCATGGAGTCTTGGTGCTGATCATGTTTTGCTCGTGGAAGAGGCTTAGTCAATGGGTCTGCAACATTTAGATCCGTATGTATCTTGCAAATCTCTATGTCTCCCACCTGGACTTGGTCCCGGATGGAATTGAAGCGTCTCTTGATGTGCTTGGTCCTCTTGTGAAATCTGGATTCCTTTGCCAAGGCAATTGCACCAGTATTGTCACAGAAGATCTTCATTGGTCCCGATGCACTAGATATGACACGTAGATCGGAAATGAACTCCTTCATCCAGACTCCTTCATTTGCTGCTTCTGAAGCAGCTATGTACTCCGCTTCACATGTAGATCCCGCCACGACGCTTTGATTAGAACTGCACCAACTTACAGCTCCACCGTTTAATAAAAACACGTATCCGGTTTGCGATTTAGAATCGTCCAGATCAGTGTCAACGCTTGCATCGACGTAACCATTTACGACTAGCTCTTTGTCACCTCCATATATGAGAAACATATCCTTAGTCCTTTTCAGGTATTTCAGGATGTTCTTGGCCGCTGTCCAGTGATCCACTCCTGGATTACTTTGGTACCTTCCTGCCAAGCTTATTGCTAAGCACACGCCAGGTCTGTTACACAGCATTGCATACATGATAGAGCCTATGGCTGAAGCATAGGGAACATCTTTCATT